GTCAGATCAGAATTTTATGTCGCTTCCAAACTGACATACGACAATATATTATTCAATAAAACATTGTCATATTTATTATCACTGCTAATTTTCTATTCTCTCATCTGACACATGTCAGTTTGGAAGCGACATAAAATTCTGATTTGACATATCACTTCGGAATTGACATAAATTCCGATCTGACATACAACTATTATTATGTGTACCACTGTTTATACGCAGACAGAGCGCCATAATTAACATTTTTTATGTTAACTTTCCCTCGTAAAGTAATTTGTTAAAGTTAGCTACCTTACCGTTACTATTACCAACATCGCAAGATTTAAATTGAGCTAACAAGCTTGCGATAATTACTGTGTTGATACGTAGGGAGAGAAAAAAAAAAAACAAAATTTGCACCCGTTAAAACAATGGCTCAGTTTTTACGTGGACAATATCACTTTTACATATTCGTCGAATGGCACAATGGTACAAACGTTAGCATTACTAATGAAAAACATACGTACAAGCTTGTGGACATGATAGATCTATTGCTCGTTTCAAGAGTTGAGTATTACAACAATTAAGTAATGCAATTGACACTTTTTCTGGAACTTGGGTAATCCATGACAGTAGCAACAGTTGGTCTTTCGTTATAGCATTTGTTTTATGTTACAGTACCATGAACGCGTGGCATTATAAACTCGCACCAAAAAGCATTGTAAAACATGGAAAGTCTCCATTATTATCAGCCGTATATACTAAGCAAACAACATAATTTTTGTGCCGCTCTGAAGCTACTTTTCAAAAACTATATTGTAATTGACGAGTTTAACAAAATGTATGTATGTAAATATGTGTGACTTATTACTGTCATTACAGCTTTATAGTAGGCTTAGATTTATCGTTATTTTTTTCAAATTGACACAAAATTATTGTTACTTATACTGTCATGGTAAATACGAACAATTTCTACATCTTTTGACAGAATACTTTCCATATAAGGCTCTTTAGCCAAGCTCTTTATTGCACCTCCATATGAATATGCTTTTGCATGTATGTTGTAAGTATATCAGTAGTTAGTATTAGGCAATAAAGTCTTAAATTACTATTATTATTAAATGTTTAGTTCATTTTCCAGCCACACAACCATTTTTTGTTACGGGCCCATGCTTCATGACGATCGCTAGCCATTAATAGTAATAGGAAGCACGATACTTGGTTGATTAGTATGTACGGTCAATAATAATATTGTAATAATAATTAAAAATATCACTAGGAAAAATTAAAGCATTCATTCACTCATACCACATTACTTTAACCCTTCACATGCATCGTCAACCAATCCTTTATCATAGAACGCGAGAGAGCGTAAAAAGAAAACATGTTACATCGATAAAGAAGGACAAATTAAAAGTACAATTTTTATTATGGGAAAAAGCCAGGAATACCGTTGTGGACGCAAACAGAAATATCGGGCTGAGACATGAATGGGAGACATTCAAAGCGACAACCCCATTCTTCTCTGATTTAGATATGGCTTCAATAGAAGAACTGGCTTCAATGGAAGAACAGCTTTTGCAAGGTAGGTCTAATCACATCTATGTAACGTTACAGGCGTTCATCTACTTATCCTGACCATTTTTAGAAGTCGAAAGTATGTTTGCAAGCGAGGAAGTCGAACGTATGTTAGCTCTTGAGAAAGAAGATATTCAAGCGCAAGTGGAAGAATATTACAAGTACAAAGAGGAATCAGGAACATCAGTAGCTGATCAAGCAGTGATGCAGTGGGAGGCTTGATATAAACAATAGGAATGATTCTATATGCCTATTAGCAGACACATTGTTGTTGCAAACGCAGAACATAATGTCGATAGTAAAATTAATAATTGATATACGAAATATGATACTTAAATTCAAATAAGTTGTTTCGTTTTCGCTCAACAATATGGTAAGCATGATTGAGGGCAGGTTCACCTCGACGTAGTCGATCATCGTATCATCCAAACATTCTTTCTTCTTGCGTCCCGGTTCAAATCCAACAAAATCATTCACCCCAATTTTCGAGAACCATAACCGCTGAACACATTTTCAGGTGTAGTTTTCGCGTGCCACTCACAATAAAGGCGAGAGCGCGAGTCAGAATACGGCGCACATAGTCTGTGAATTTTCAGGTATGGGAATTTTTCAGACTTGGTTTCTAAATTTTATCCTAATCTTCCTTGATAAAACTTCCAATAATTGACGGATATGTCTCGTATATAAACTGGTTAGAAACCTTTCATCACCTTGTAAATAAATATTGCGCAATTCACTATGGTATCGGCGATTAGATTAAGCGTTTCCAGTAAAATGAGACGCATCTATTAGAAAACTGAATAGTACTTTTCAAGAAGCGCTTGGCCGGCCAAGAGATATTAAACCACTGAATATTTTAAAACGAAATTGGGATCTAAGGAAAGGGTCATATGAAGAGACGATTAAGTTAACAGGCTGTAAAAAAATAATAATTGGCCCGCATTTATCGTAAGGTAGCAATTAGACTGGTTAAAGAAACTTCTGAACTAAACATAACAAGCGTTTGATCGACGGTGTATCAAATTGATCCTTACCTCCAAATTCGTGATTACATGGGTGTATATGCTTAATACGCATTTTCTTTTTTGGTTCCATTGCCATTCACATAGACCACAAAGCATTCGCTTTAAAGTTCTTTGGTCTGCTTCTTTAAATTACGTACTCATTAAATTTTAGTTTTATTTAATCTTATTCTTGGCTACATATAGTACACAAAGTTGTTCGTATTGCCGTTTTTATATTCCTCTGCGCTCCCTTTTCCCCTTATAACTGAATTCCCAGAATTTTGCAAGCCTTGGCGGCTTCAGCTTGGCCACAATATGCTGCTCTCTTTAGATATCTCATCCCTAGTTCGACATCGATTCCATTATAATACAGATTCCCGATATTGTACATAGCAGTAGTATTCCCATTGTCTGCTGCTAGCTTAAAATACTCGATCGCTTGTTTGTCATTTTTTTCTGTCCCAACACCCCTCCACAAACAATGGCCAAATCTTAGTTGTGCCTCGGGCAAGCCAGCGTCTGCAGCTTCCTTAAACATTTTCGCTGCCATCTTCAATCTCTCCTCTTTGCTGACTGGTGGATCCAATGTCACCATTTCGTAGTAAAGATAATATCCAACCCAGTATTTAGCATTAACATCTCCAAAGGCTGCGTATAAATTGAACGTTTCCCATGCAAGACGTTTGTTACCGTTTTTTGCACGGTGTTCTCTGAGAGCATCTTCCATAGTTAGGCTATTGAAAGAGCCAAAATCGATCAAACAATCGTCATCGTCGGAACTGGCGCGTGGCGAAGCAGCTGGCGAAGGGAGAGTGGCCGAGGACAGGCGAGGTGATCGAGGAAGAGCGTGCGCTTTGAGGAGCGCATGAAGCGATGTAAAAATTTTCGTTATTGTCAGACGTTCCGAAGCGTGGTATGTCGTTGCTATAGCAGAAAAGCCGGGGATGAATTGTCGTACGACAGAACGGGTAGGAGAACAGAAAGACCAGATGGGAAATGTAATAGAAAATGAAAAAATTAAGCTTGATTATATAGACAAGGAAAGAAAAATATTGTTGAATCTCGGCACAAGCCCATGTTCACACCTTGAATTACAATGCTCTGGTATTGCGATGGGGTATTTGGACTAAGCGGTTCACGATAATATTTATCACAAGCTAATTCTCGGACTTTTAAAATATCTTCAACATCTGAATACGGTAGTTTCTCCTCTGCGATTTCCCAAAGCAACATTCCGAAACTAAAAAAAAAAAGATGGTCGTTAAATATTAACGACGGTCGATGTCCCCAGTGAATGAACTTCACCCCTTTCCACGTCTTGTACACATCAGTTCCTTTTTCTGGAGAAAACTTTTTAATTACCTGTATGTTTCGCATCTGAAATCATAGGCATAATTCGGATTCATAATCTTCTCCGGAGCCATATACCGTATATTAATAAAGTTCGCAGCGACATTTCTAGTTGCGTCATGTAATCCACGCGAATTGGCGAAATTTGCAATTTTCGCTTGATGGTGTTCGGTAATCAGAATATTTTCTGACCGTATGTCATGGTGAAGAATGTTTACTGCTTGAAGAAAACATAGTCCTCGGGCGATATCTACAGCAAATTCTATCTTCTTCGACCACGGCAATTGTCCATAGTTTGTATAATAGTCTGACAAAGTCCCATATTCTGCCCATTCGTAGACCAGATACATCATATCTCCCTCCTCAGCCAAACCTAAAAACTCGATTATATTCTTCGAGTCCTTTAATCTCTTTAATATATTAACTGTGTTTATAACTTCTTCTCTTATTTCTTTGACAGCAGTTTTCTCTTCTTCGTTTGTCCGTTCCACGCAAGTCAAGTTTAGGTTTACGTCTCGAAATGCATAATATGTGTGATCTATTTTTTTTCGGCGACGGTGAACACCAGAACTTACTTCGCCCTCGGGTTGAGTAAATTGGTTGAGGTCGATGAAACTGTCAGAGATTAGTTCAGAGAAACTTATTTGAGAAAGCTTTGCAGGAGGCGATGGCTCACGTGATTGAGCTTGTTGTTTTTGGAGAAGACTTTGAAGAGCTGCGATGTATTCTATGGCATCAGAAATACCGCCTTGAAGATCGGTTATGCCACCTTTTATGTTATCTAGATACTATGCAAAAGGCGGTGCAATGATTAACGGCGTTGTTGAATAATTATATTTGTGATGGGATTGACACACTTACTTCTTTCATATCTGCTATATCCTTATCAATGACTTCTTTATCTTTCTGTTGTTGAATTCGCGTCTCAACCGTAATACTAAAATTCAAGCTTCTCATACACCCATCAAATTCGCTTGTCAACTCGTCAAACGTCTTCTTGACGACATTTGCCTGCAGAAATCCAACCGAAAATTTCTTCAATCCCTTGATCTGCGAAATATCTTCGATAAACTTTTTAATCTTTTCAATTGACAGCTTGAATCTTAAGAACAGTTTATAATTTTTCTGATCGGTAAAAAAAACAAGATATTCTTGCTTTTTAATGTTAAGATCCTTGACAGCAGCTTCAGCCGCAAGTATTCTATCGAGAAGAAGACCACATATTTTTTTGTTGTGTTGCGCAGACTCGTAGAGTTGTACTATTTCGTCAGCGAGCTTGAGAACGTCAGCGATGAGAGGTGTGAATAGACTTATGGCAGAAAGTTTGCCCCCGATGCGAGGAGCACCTGAAATTGCAGTGGAAAGGGAGCTTGGAAGTGTAATGTCATTTGGAGGGTGCATTTCTCGGGATTTTGTTGAAGAGTCATCACTACTATTTAATGCAAAGCCAAGATCTTCTCGTCCTGGTGTCTCAATAACAACGTGACCTCCCTTAGCGTAGTCGCCAAAGTCAGTTTTCGCCGATGGTATGTCGCTCATAACAAAAGCACAAGTATTACTACGGATCAAACAACGTGACTGGAAATTTCAACGAGTCGCGTGATTTGATACGTGTAATAGTAAGCATAGAAAAGACATAAGTATGCAGATTTTGCCAAACAGGCATTAAACGTATTATTCATAATCCTCTTTACTCATATGTAATTGGTCAAATATGCGTGTAGTGCACGCGTGCACAAGTGAGAAAACGCGCGCTTACGAACAATCGTCCTTTTGTTTAAAGTTTTATCAATCGGTTCTCCCAGTTGAATTCTTAGTACAAGGATCGGCCCACGTTAAACCGAAATCCGTTAGGCCGAAAACCCCCGTTAAAATTGAACTCTGCACTATAATCTCGGCTGTTATTATAGAGCGAAAATTCCGATAATATTGCTGCGCTAGTTAGTATTGTAAACAACTTGTCATATTACATAATATGTCATGTGATAACACTAATATTAAATGTCGCAGCTGATCGTCCGATCGATAGATAGACAATTCGCACATCGTAATCGTAACTATCTGATCCACACTATTGTAGATAGTTTATTGGGAAGAGGTGGAGAATAAGTCAAAGAACCAAGGATTGTCCTCTCATTCAACAGTATATTCGTGCCTTTCCCTTTATAGCTTTTCGTGATAAATTACGCCACGCACGGTTAGTAGTACTGAATTGCTGGTTTTGGGAATCAGGTGTCCGTGTACCCAGACAGTCAAACCTTTTTTCTTGCTGTCATTTTTGAACCATAGCGAACATTTACTGTATTATTTGGAATCCACACAAGTCATTGAGATAAAGAGGCAAGGTATATAAGCGAATCTGTAGAGTCATGAGGACCGCTTACTGTAATTGGATAAATTGTCTGTTCGAATAAACAACAATCGTGGTTTCTTTTTCTCTTGACATTTCGATCCTAATCTAATATCACAAACACATTGTTCTAATAAATCTTTCTGCGGATTAGATGTACACACGGAGTGACATCCATTATTATGCCGACGGCGACTTTGAAATGGTTGCAGAGAACATAGTATTTCGAGTCCACAAAACGATACTCTTTTACGCCTCAGCTTTCTTCGAAACGATGTTCTCGAATGTCAGACCGACTGAATCAGACATGTCGTCGGATCCGTTCCCAGTCCCACGTCTCTATCTGCCAAACGAGAAAGCAGAAAATCTTGGAAAGTTACTTACGTTCTTATACCCCAACACATATTTTGAGATTTCTTGGGATGACGTCTCCGATTTTTTGTATCTAGCCGATAAATATCTCATCGAGAAGTTGAGAAAGGCATGCGAAGCATTTCTTTGCAGAGGTTTCTATGACGAACCTCTACAAGCATTGAAATTAGCAGAAAAATATCGTATCGCTAGTGTATACAAAGAATCATCCAAGCTTGTACTCAACAACTTTGAACATTTCTTCCACAATGCTGCAGAAACCTCCGTCATTTCCCCCCTTACGATTATAAAACTCAAAGTATCCCGACAAGAATATATCGAGGGACTCAACAGGTTATATTCGCGTACGGTTGATCGCGAATTTCCCCCTTTATCATCCGAACACCTGAGAAGTAAATTCGAAGAGTGTGTCAAAGATATATGCACATTTCCAATTCCTAATCCGAGTGACGTATGGAGCCAATTACATGCGGTTGACTGTTCGAGACATTTTGAATGTAGAGAGGAGCTTCGAAGATTGAAGGGGTTCATCCACGAGAAGATTGTAGAATTCTTTGGAGAATACGAGACTTTAGCTGCGAGGAAGTCAATGAATGTGGATGATGTAGCGTACTATCCGTTTATTGAACTCGGGGAGTGATCACGTTTGGGAGTTGAAGAAATCTGTTGATCGGTGGCAGAGTTGGGTGAGTGGGAAGGCGATATATAGAATCTGGGAAATCGGTAAGCAAAGAAGGGACACACTGTTGGGTTTCCGTGTTATGGTGCTGTATCTAATGTTTATCACATGGATGTGAATCAAAAAATACCTTTTAGTGTAGTATATTAAGTGTATTTGCATATGGGACAGTATATACTTTTGTAATTATTTGAGAGGTATCATCATTTGGCGGCTCATGTAACATATAATAGCAAATTAAACTGGATGTACATGTCAATGTTACCATTGGTGGGTGTTGTAGAAGAGCTCGTGACGATAGATTATAATGGTCGAATTGGCCATGCGTGTTAATTGTAGGAAGGGGAGAGAGGGGGAGGAAAATATTTTTCTCTTCTGTTGTCGGAAACCGATATCTGACAAACTGGGACTCCGAGTCGATCTTGGATAGGATTCTTGTGATTTCCTGAAGAAAATGTCTTCGCCGGTTGTGGTCGTCATAATTACTCTGGCTGTGTTATCTATTGATCACATTACTTTTGGGGTAGCCTCTGCTAAGTGATGCGGAATTCGTTCATTGCTTATTACCGAACTGGAACATTGACGCTAAGCTCGAAGAAACAAACAATTGGAAAAGGCCCGCGCCAACGTGGTGGTGAGAGGGAGTGTGAATGTTTGTTTTCTTACTCAAGTGCTTTAGTTTTGCAAGTAAGTGGAAAGGATTTTAAAGATCAAATAAGAATTCTCACTGGGTATCCGTTGAGTGTATCCGAAGTACGCTGCCACTAGGTGTAAAAACCGGATACTTGAAAAGGGCATTGGGCCACACTTGTAAATCGTTTATCTTTCGAGTTACATATCCGAAAGTAAGGACAAAACGAAATTTTAATCAAACTTTGTTACCGAAAAAAACTGTGCTCACTTCATCTTTTATGGTGAATAGAATACGTTTGACTCGGACGATTAATGTTTCATTGTATCACGCGCAAACTGCTTTATTTTAGCAAACCATTTGTACGTGGCTGTGCAATTTGCGAAAAACTTCTCTTTCCTTCACTTTATAAAGTGGCAAACGTTGGAGTTTTGACGCGACGTAAATAAAAATTTTATGCAAACTTTACGAAGAAGACTGCCCAATTCACGATTACTTATTCACGCTCTGTAATGGGTAACTAAATTATAAATGACAACTTTACCTATTCTCTTCAATCATTTGTTCCTTAAATTTGCCGTTTGCAATGGATGTAAATCCAAATAATCGATCGCGTTATGTGCTCTTGCTGAAATACTTCAATGTATTTACGATGTCCACACGCCCATTATGTGATGCAATTAATAATTATAATCGCATTTTGTCACGTATACTCAGTAATTTGATTTTTTTTTTCACATCAACTAGAAGGTGATGGTGTAGCCTGTATAACTTTTCTGTAAGAATGGGCATTTTGGGATATTTTTATTTAGTATTAGGAATCAATACGGTAATGCAACCGCTGTTTGGTATTTATAAACAAGTAATATTATTATGTTGTAAATAGCATCTTGGTTATAGATATTCTTTTTGTATTAAAAACAAAATAGCTTCTATGATTGGATAAAGTTGAGGATATTCTTGTCTTTTTGTTGAAAATTTTCATTCGCTGCAAAACGGAGATAATTTATCTTTGGAAAAAATTTCAAGAGAATAAATGTAGTTTGGACCATAATTGGTTTATTTGATTTAGTGACAGCAAAAGATTTATTCTCAAATTATATTTTCTATTTTGTTTAAATTAGAATCGGCTTTATATTCTAATAAAAACCGTGTTAAAAATAATTAATTGTTTCTTGTTCTTTCGCTTGTAAACAATCTCTGGTAAAACACAATCGCTGGCGCAGCTGAAAATGCTTAATCCCGTCAGCAGTATCGGAAGTTGACTCTTGTCCTTAGCTTTTAATAGTCTTTGCAAACATGATTATTTATATCATTGCGCAAGGTTTAGTGGTATTTCCCCGATCGATAGGCTTTAGTAAAAAAACTCAAAATTGAACGATAAGAGTCGCATTAAATTGCGTGAGCAACAAACCGTAGAATAAACGTCAGTATTGTCACAGAAAATTTATTGCGAAGTAGGATCCGTTTATGGACCGGGGACATGTCGATAATGTAGAACTTTATTGTCTAACTACGGTTACCCGCTAGAGCTAGTTTTAACATACATGCTAGGCATACAGAGGTATTTATACGAAATTATGTGTTACAAATCTTTTAAGAATTTGATTATCTCCTTACCAAACTGTCGAAAAATATTTTCTTTACTTTGCTGAGGGCATTTTGTTATATTGTAAACAGACAAGCAGTAGTCAAGGTTTAGTTGTTTACTGTTAATGACAATATCAATAATAAAGGTGCAAATTTACCGTACAGCTCGTTTTGTTTAATTTTGTGGATAGATTTGGAATGAATAATTAACAAAGTGGAAGTTTGAGAGATGCAAACGTTATCTAATTTTGCTTGGCATGCACGATTTTTTTGACAAGTTGAGATTGGAAATGGGTAGCTTGGTTTGTGTGAAGTTTAATTTTTGTTCAACAAACATGACGCATAAGTAAATAGTTTACCTCGGCATATATAAATCATGTGTCTCGTCTGTTATCTCCAGTACATTTTTCAACAAATAAGGCGGGAAAAAGCTGGCCTTATACAATTTGTTAAAATATTTCAATGATCGATTAGATTTTGTTTAACACAGTTTATGTAATGGCAGGTGTTTGGAAACTTGTATTGATATTTGGCAATATTTCAATGCTGGAATTTAACACAGATTAATTCGTCAGCTGATTCCAATATCTGTATTTTATTGCCCACATTCCTATGGTGTAATAAATGCTATAAATTTAGTTAGCATCATGTAGCGAATAAGCGTTTGTTTTTACTTCAATGCTCAATTTAATATTTAATTTCAATTGAAGTTAAAGGATGAAGGTCGTTTGTACGTGTTTCGTAACGTAAAAAAAAAAAAAAACTGGGTTTGGCAGCAGCAAACCCAAAATGCGTTTGTCGCGACACACACAACCCGTGCGGTGATCAATTTCTAAATAATCTACGACTGGCTTTATGTAAAAATTTTTTCAATGCAAGTCCAAAACAGTTATAAATAGGATATTGATTTTTGGGTT